TATGTATATGATTTTAAATCTAGGTTACAGTCTCATCTTTTTACCCTTGCATTTAATAAATTATAGGCTAATTCTTGGTCTCTTTTAAATTTATATTTATTGTATTATTTTTATTTATTTCTATTTTACCTTTTTCTTCTGGACAGCACAGTGGTCAATTCTTGTTGTGTTTATTTGTGCTTTATAAGTAAATAAATGAAATAAAAAAATAAAAAAAAGACCTCCATGAAAACAGTAACAAATACAGTACATAGACATATCTTACTTTTGCCCGCAGCCCTACTATTAAAGTGGCCCTCTGTCTCCTACTTAAGAGCTCTGGCACAAGGTTTGTCATCACAGAAACAAATTCTTCCAGTCTTCCAAATTGCTCCACATTTTGATCCTTGACAACTTGCCACATGAAGGCGGATGTGAGGCGTAGAGGAGAAACCAGCAGGCGAAGTGAGGAGAGAGGAGGGGCAGACTCTACAAAGACATAGATATACAAATATTTATGCATATGTATATCTATATATTTGCATTTATTCATATATGAGTGCCATTCAGGTATCTGAAACCATATTTTAAATAACATTCACATTCCACATTTAAATAATTTAAACCTGTAAATAAAAGCTTCAGGATTTAAAAAAATGTTAATACTGAAATCAACAGTAAAAAATTACATGAAATATTTGGACATATGAATTAATATACATGTGTGTTTATGCTGTGTTTTGCATATTCACACATACACGTATATTAATTTATATGCAAAACAATGCAACAAAAGCGCAAATAAAAACTAATAATAACGTTACATGCAAGTAAATAATCTATCAGCCTCATCCAGCATGAGGTTCTAGCTGTGTACATCAGGGCAATGATACTCTACTCAAAAGCCCAGTCATGTGAAATACTGTAGGTGTGGTCATTACATATCTAACGACAAATAATATAAATGACTATAAGGTAGATGACTATACACACCCATTGCTTCTTTGTTTGAATATATTTCGACTGACAAACAGTCTTGTTTCCAACTTCGTCCGTTGACTCGTTCCGTTACACACTGCGCATGCGTCTAACAAGTGAGCTGCGCATTAGAACGGCAAACAGCAAAAGGTGAACTTTTAGAGGGGTGGGGCTCATCGGTTTGAGTTTTGTCTGTAGTTGGTCAGAAACGATAATTGTAAATAATAATTCTCCCGTTTTTAATCTTCACTTTGTATTTGTTTTTAATAAAGGTAATCTGTGTCATTACTCGGGTAGAAATTATTGTCAAGACCACTGCTGAAGCAGCACGAGGCTGAATTCAGCTTCTTATTCGCAGCTTCTTATTGACGCTACCCGTTCCACCTTAAAAACGCGACGCTTCAGCGTTTCTAGCTTGTTATTCACGCTCAATTTAGGGACCGTCTCTATTTGCGTTTCTTTTTCAGAAACGAACAATAAACTATTTTAAAATGTAAATAACACTGAGATAAGAGCGAAAACGGGCTGTCAACATTAAATCTAATTACATTATACGTTAATTATTAAACGTGCATGTCATCTTTTGAGTGCAGTAATGATTTTTTTAAACGCGTTTTTAAGGTGGAACGGATAGCGTAAATAAGAAGCTGCGAATAAGAAGCTGAATTCAGCCTCGTTGAAGCAGCGGTGATATATGAGGCACGTGATATACGTTACTTTTCCCAGCAGAGCTGAAGGTGGACCAATCACAGTGATTTGTGATTATTGGATTCGGATTTCTTTAAAAACATTTTATACAGATAAATGGAGCAAGTATGCATGTGATTGGCGGGTGGCAGTTTGGGCATGCATCTTATTTGAAAGATTATTAGTTTTAGTGTACACACATCCCTGTTGAGAATTTTAAAAAACCTGTTGAGATTTTAATACGGTGCAATGGACAGCCTGCCTTTATAGGCCATCATGCACCCCCTGGAGGGAAAAGACTTTATGTTCTCTGTGAACATCACACATGTGTCTTTAAGCCTCCCTCATTTCTTTCAGTGGTGTACTGCGCACAACGAGAGTGTACTGCCATCTTTCGTTCAATAGGCCTATAAATCTATACAGCTGTGGTCAAAATTTTACATACACTTTGCAGTATCTGCATGAGGGATCATACAAAATGTGTTTTTTTTTGTACCGACCTGAATAAGATATTTAACAAAAAAATATGTTTAGGCCTACAGTCTAAGCCTATAGCCTATAGTCCACAACATGTCCAGTACTTAGCTTTATTCTTAAAGGGGTCATATGATGCGATTTCATTTTTTCCTTTCTCTTTAGAGTGTTACAAGCTCTTGGTGCATAAAGAAGATCTGTAAAGTTGCAAAGACTAAAGTCTCAAATCCAAAGAGATATTCTTTATAAAAGTTAAGAGTTAGCCACACCTACCTAAAACGGCTCGTTCGAACACGCCCCCACATATCTACCTCACTATGTGGGAAGATATGCATAACGCCGCCCAAATGTTCACGCAAAGAAAGAAGGCATAACTTTTATTCTAGCTGTAGTATTGTTGCTGCCGCCATGTCGTGAAGAAG